GGCCGGGCGCAGTGGCTCACACCTGCAATCCCGGCACTTTCGGAGGCAGAGGGGGGTGGATCACTTGAGGTCAGGAGTTCGAGAGAGCAGCCTGGCCAACATGTCGAAACTCCATCTTTACTAATAATAGAAAAATTAGCCAGGCGTGGTGGCACGTGCCTGTAGTCCCAGCTATTTGGGAGGCTGAGGCAGGGGAACCAACCTGGGAGGCGGAGGTTGCAGAGAGCGGAAATCGCACCACTGCACTCCAGTCTGGACAACAAGAGCAAGAGTCTGTCTCTCCCCGCCCCCAAAAAAGAATTTCGGTTGTTTTCTACACTCTAAAAGCACTGTGAAGTAGAAATGGTCACTCTGTAAATGACACAAATTCCACCGTTATGTTACTAAACAATCTCAGCTCCTTAAGAGAAACTCAATGGGAACAGTATTTTACCCTAATTACCTCCTTTCAGAAAAGACTGGGTGGGGGTGGTAGATGCACGAAACCCCCAACTCATGAAGTCGAGCGCGCCCAACAAGTTAACCCAGAAGGTAAACTTTTCGGGATACCGTAGCTAGATGAAGCGAGAGAACTCTCCATGGGCTAGGGACTGACTTCAAGAAAATAACGAATCTGAGCGGACACGAGGAAAGCAAAAAGGGAAAGCGACAGGGCTGCCATGCTCCTAACTCCACCCTCCCGCGCTCAGCCTGGAGAAGGCCCAGTCTCGCTGGCTACTGCCCCTCCTTCCACCTCTTCCCAAACCCACCGAGCGGCGGCAGGAAAGGTCCCGCAGCCCTCTTCTCCCCTCCCCCAAACCAGGGGCTGGGGAGGCCCAGAGAGGTTAAGAGCTTCCGTTCCTTCCCCGCCCAGAAGTGAAGAGGTGGGAAGTGGAATTGCGAGTTCGTCCTGTCTCGGCCTCCCTCTCCCTCCACGCTTACCCGGGGCTCCGTTTCCGCCCAAGCCCGAGACTTACTCGTCAGCCCGGCAGCCACCGCAGCTGGGTCCCCGCGTACCGCCACAGCCCCTATTCCAGGGCCGCCCCCCCCACCCCCAGCTGCAAGCTCCCGTGGGTTCCGGGGCAGTAGGAAGAATTACTTCCGCTGGGTCAGACCGCTTTCTGCGAAGCGCGGGAGACACGTACCTGGTGAAGCGAGGACGCAGAGTGTGTCGCTACTTCCGTCTGGAGGAAGTGCATACGCCCTACTCTCTTCTCCTATAGTAGGCCAGCCTATGAACGGCACCGGCAAATTTCGACCAATCCGAGTCTAGCTCTTCTGGATTCCCAGAATGCAGCGCCAACCCAGATCCAATATCTATAGGGACGCATCCTTAGAGAGGCTCTATGGAGTCGGAGACAGCACTGCATTCTGGGATTCGTAGTTTCTTTGGTGGATACCGTCGGCGTTGCGACCAAGGCAGCCCTGCATCCTGGAACTTGTAGTTTCTCGTACTGAGTGTTAAGATTTTGATGGTTTTAGAGATTGTCCTTGCCTCTCCTGTAGGGGTACGCTTGAAGGTGGGAGACTGCACAGCAAAGATTGAAAAGTGGGAGGGCGGTTTATTTGCTAACGAGATCGTGCTCTTTATGAGGCATTATCTGTCCCTTGTGAAAAATAGCTGTGCGTGCTTAAGAGCCAGCACAGCAATAACTAGCTCAATCGGCTGACCTCATTTCCTCTCTTCCCGGTAGAATTCAATGTTAACTGAAAACTAACCACGCCCCCACTCCACCCCCGAGGGTCCTGCCTCTGCCTCTGGGTTTGCTCAGATATCTTGGATTCTGAGCTCACGAACAGAAAATCCAACAAGTTTTGGGACCTTCTTTCTCACTCCACGCCCCACTTCACACCCCCTGTCTTTCCTGTGGTAAGATATACAGGCACCTTTCCTGGAAGGCTGAAACAGCTAAATAAAGTTCTCCATCTACTGTTTTCCAGGAGTGTCGCCTGAAGAGAATGTATGTAGGGCCAAGACAACATTGCAAGTTGCTCAACGAGGCACTCTGTGTGCTCAAAAAATAGATAATAGGCTATCCGGAGTTTATTGAACTAATTGAGAACTTGCCTGAAAGGATTTTTTCTTTTTTAAATTTAGTTGATTTGGTAGATAAAATGCATTGTTTCTTTTTTTTTTTTTTTTTTTAGGAATTAATTGCAATAATCAAGGAGATTGTCCTGTATGAACTTTTCAAAGACTTTGTAGAAATCAGAACAAATATTTAAATATTTTTTGGCTGTAATGGTAGCTCGAAGTAGAGTTCGGTGGGGAGGACAGGCGTGGAGATGCAGATGAAGAGGCTGTAGGTCCATTTTCTTTTTTTCTTTTATTGAGAGGGAGTCTTGCTCTGTCATCCAGGCTGGAGTGCAGTGGTGCAATCTTGGCTCACTGCAGCCTCCACCTCCCAGTCTCAAGTAATTCTCGTACCTCAGCCTTCTGAGTAGCTGGGATTACAGGTGCGCACCACCACGCCTGGCTACTTTTTAGTGTGTTTTTCGTAGAGGCAGGGTTTCACCGTGTTGGCCAGGCTGGTCTCAAACTCATGACCGCAAGTGATCTGCCCACCTTCACCTCCCAAAGTGCTGGGATTACAGGCATGAGCCACTCTGCCCGGCCTAAAAACATCCTTAGAGTCATACTAAAATCCCATTAAAGTAATTTATATTTAACAAATGTCTCTAAATTACTGGAACTGGAAAATCCCGCTAACATAAATAACAATTCTATGTAAATCTATAGTACAGAGTTTTCAGAATATAATCTCATTTTATCTATTTAGAAATTTTGAGAAATGGATCAAATGTTTTTATTTTCATCTATTTACAATATCTGTAGGGGAAACAGCTTTACAGAAGATAAAGAAATTCTAGTTCTCTCAATATACTTAAGAAAAACATTTTTATATGAAAAATTTAGGGCCGGGCGTAGTGGCTCACGCCTGTAATCCAAACACTTTGGAGGCCAAGGCCGGCGATCACCTGAGGTCGGGAGTTCAAGACCAGCCTGACCAACATGGTGAAACCCCGTCTTTAAAAAAAAAAAAAGATAGAAAAAAAAAGAAAAATTTAAATATATCAGCAAAATAACAGAGTGAATGAATTATCATGAACAGAAGAATTTTTAAAATATAAGTAGGCCAGGTGTGGTGGCTCAGTTTTATCCCAACACTTTGGGAGGCCCAGATGGGAGGATCCCTTGATTCCAGGAGATCAAAACCAGCCTGATCAACAAAAGGAGACCCTGTCTCCACTAAAAATACAAAAATTAGCTGGGCATGGTGGCATGGCCTATAGTCCCAGGTACTTGGGAGGCGTAAGTGGGAGGATTACTTGAGCCTGGGAGGTCAAGGCTGCAATGAGCTATGATCATACCACTGCACTTCAGCCTTGGTGACAGAGCAAGACCCTGTCTCCAAAACAAAATAAAAGGTGGACACTGTGGCTCACCCTTGTAATTCCAGCACTTTGGGAGGCTGAGGTGGGCAGATAGCTTGAGCCTCAGATGTTTGAGACCAACCTGGGATATATGGTGAAACTCCATCTCTACTATTTAAAATATATATATATATATAAATTAAAAGAAACAAATATAAGTAGAAGCTTTTCATAAAATAAAGTTATTCATATAGAAGTGTTATCATTATCTCTTTCTGGATACTCCCTCCAATAGTTGACAGGATTTGGAGTTGCCAACATGATCATATTCTATTTATTTATTTTTATTTGTTTTGAGACAGGGTCTAGCTCTGTCACCTAGTGCAGTGGTGCAATCAGGGCTCACTGCAGCCTCAACCTCTTGGACTCAAGTGATCCTTCTGCCTCAGCTTCCCAAGTAGCTGGGTCTACAGGCAGGCACCACATGCCCAGCTAATTTTTAATTTTTTTTGTAAAGACAGGGTCTCACTCTGTTGCCAGGCTGGTCTCAAACTCCTGGAATCAAAGGATCCTCCCACCTGGGCCTCCACATATTACTGGAATTGCAGGTGTGAGCTCCCGCCCCTGGCCACACATTATTTTAGACTATGAATTTGTTCCTCTCCGGTGCAAATAATATGCCAAATCTAAAACAGTTATAGTTCTGTAATGGTAAACAAAAGAGTGTCGCTATTACTAAGATGCTCATCCTTTAAGACTAAGCTGAATGTGAAGTCAGTCTGGAGACATACTGTGGCAAAATTAATCATATTCTTTGTACTTTTGTGGCATGTTTCTTGTTTTTTTGAGATGCCGGGTCACTTTGTGGTCTAGGCTGGACTGCAGTGGTTTGTTCTCGGCTCACTGAAGCCTCGACTTTGAGCTCATGCAATCCTACCGTGGTCTCAGCCTCCTGGGTATCTGGGACTACAGGCACTCACTACCATGGGCCGCTTAGTTTTGTTTTAGGTTTTTGGGTTTTGTTTTGTTTGTTTGTTTTTGTAGAGACGGGGTCTCCCTGTATTGCTCAGGCTGGTCTCAAACTCCTGAGATCAGCGATCCTCCTGCCTAAGCCTCCCAAAGCTGTGGGATTACAGGTGCAAGCCACCAAGCCCGGCTACATTTTGTATATTGCGGTGTCTTAATTATATTACATTATATTGTAGTCCATTTTCAGGTGTTTCCTCCACTATTTAAGCACCGTGCATTCCCAATTTTATCTAGTATCTTTGTATTCTCTGCTCCTAGCTTAGTCCTGGCAATAGGCACTCAGCGCCTGTTTTTAAGTAATTAATCAATGTGTATATGGATGTGAATGATGTCCGAACACAAATCTGATAAGACGTATCAATATTACATGAACAAATTCCATTTATTTTCCTTCAACCCGATGACTGAATTAAGCTATCATTCATTTTTGTTCAAATAGTATATTCTTCTTTCTGTGCCAACAGGCTAGAATCATTTTCCGCAATGAAAACCGTTTTTAGGGCTTAAAAAGTGTCGTCCACGAGAAAAAACGATTTAACCCTGGATTCTAGGTTTTGTCATTCTCACACAGCCCTTTACCCTTCCCCTCTGCCCTTCCACACTGTTAAAATAAGATAGAACTATAGAAGGAGGAGTCGCTCAGCCAACAACAGAGCGGCGAGCTCACAGCTCACTGGACAGGTTACACGGACCGCCGGGAAGGCAGCAGGCGGGAGGCAGATTCTGCGCACGCGCCGACGGCGGCCCGCCAGGCGTCCCGGGGCTGGGCCTGCGCCGCTTTTGCAGCAGTCGGGTGGGAAGCCGGGTGTCTTCCGCGTGGCCTACTGAAGCTGCGGCGTCCACACCGCTCATCACTCGCGGGATGCTTTTTCTGGCGTTAGGCCGCCCGTGGGCGGTCGATCTGCGGCTCGGCGGGAGGAGGACGGCATTGTGGGCGGCCACAGCGTTCCGAGGCCCCAGGGCCTTTGTCTCTCGAGCGGCCTTCTGCAGCAAGCTCTCAGGGCCGGTCGCCGGCGGGAGCACGGGACCCTGGGGAGCCGCGCGCCTTCTCCAGCGTCCCGGCCGAGCGCAGGTCGGACGTCAGAGGGCTAGTGTCCCGAGTGAGGCGGGGAGGGCGGGCGTCGCGTCAGGCCTGGGGAGCCCTGGGGGCTCTCCGCGATCTTTCCCGGTTGTCCTTGACTGGAGCGCGTGGGAGCCCCCTCTGCGGGGCTTGCAGAAGTAGCAGTCCGAGGTCCCCAGGATGCTCAGCATCCGCGATCTAGGAGAACGGCTGGAAAGTGCTTACTTTTATGGTGGTTCCAAATCCAGCGGGTTTTGTGGTGATAGCTGTATGTAGTTCCTTTTCTACCCTTGAGCAGAAGCTTAGAAGTGTAACTTTGCAAAGAAAATTGGATGCAGCACCTTGAAATAGAACGGAGAGCCAGGTTAAACCTGACTTTGAGCTTCCTCTACTTTTATTAGGTAGATGTACTTTTTTTTTTTTTTTTTAAAGACAGGGTTTCACCATGTTGGTCAGGCTGGTCTTGAACTCCCGACCTCAGGTGATCCGCCCGCCTTGGCCTCCAAAGTGCTCGGATTACAGGCGTGAGCCACCACGCCTGGCCAGGTAGCTGTGCTTTTAAGACTTACTTTGGTCCCTGGGAAAAGGGGTGATGCAGATGTTAATTCTTTAATTTTGATTTGAATAAACTGTCTCCCAATTCTACCCTGTAAAATATCAGGATTGGCAAACCTGCTTAAAACCTGGAAGAAATGCATAAAATGGAAATTGGAATCTAATTAAATTTCAGCATTGAGGAATTAGGCATGGCTTTTACATTTTGAAGTGTATACACTGTGAAACTCATTTTCAGATGTTTGGGGAACCCTTCTGTTCCCTTGAAATTTGATGTAGGATTTCAAGTAAATTTTATTTCTTTTATTTTTATTTTTTTTTTGAAAGTGAAGTCTCGCCCTGTCGCCCAGGCTGGAGTGCATTGGCGCGGCCTTGGCACACTGCAACCTCTGCCTTCCCGGTTCAAGCGATTCTCCTGCCTCAACCTTCCCAGTAGTTGCAATTACAGGCGCGCTCCATCACACCTGGCTAATTTTTTTGTATTTTTAGTAGAGACCGGTTTCACCGTGTTGGCCAGGCTGGTCTCAAATTCCTGACCTCAAATTATCCACCCTCCTTGGCTGGGATTATCCACCTTCCAAAGTTCTGGGATTACAGGCGTGAGCCGCTGTCCTGGGCCAAATTTTATTTATTGTCAAGAAATAAAAGAGGACCAGGGAATACACGGTATTTACAAGGTATTTAGAGAAATAGTTGATCTTGGGGCCGGGCATGGTGGCTCACGCTTGTAATCCCAGCACTTTGGGAGGCGGAGGCGGGTGGATTACCTGAGGTCAGCAGTTCAAGACCAACCTGGCCAACACGGTGAAACCCTGTCTCAAAAAAAAAAAAAAAAAAAGAAATAGTTGATCTCTTTTTTTAATACTAACATATAAATATTTTAGAAGTCTTTAAAAAAAAAAAAAGGCTTGGACTTTAAATATAATCTGAGTTTGCAGAGTGTTTTATTTATTTTAGTAAAATTTTGGTTTTTTTGAGATGGGGTCTTGCTGTGTTGCCCAGGCTGGCCTTAAACTCCTGGGCTCAAGTGATCCACTTCAGTCTCCCCAGTAGCAGGGGCTACAGACATGTTCCATTACGCCAGCTAAATGTATTTATTTATTTTAAAGATGGGGTTTCACCATGTTGGCCAGGCTGGTTTTGAACTCCTGACCTCAGGTGATCCACCCACCTCGGCCTCCCAAAGTGCTGGGATTACAGGTGTGAGCCACCAATGTATTTATTTTTTGAAAAGGTGTTGCATTTAAATAGAGTGGAATGATGTCCTCATTAACAGTGGAGTAGAAGAAACTTCCACGATTTTTACTTGTTCAACATCACTCTAGATCTAGAAACCTGAGAGCTGGGATGCAAACCTAGCAGACTCCAACTCTGCAGTTTTCTACTTGTGACTAGAATTAAGGCAAGCCATTCTGTCAGCTAATTGATTTCTTTAGCTCTAGATTATTTGGGAGAATTCCTTATGTCACCTCACATGACAAGTTCTCTTCATTACAATTTTATTTTTTTGAGACAGCGTCTCGCTCTCTTGCCCAGGTTGGAGTGCAGTGGTGTGATCTCAGCCCACTGCAACCTCTGCTGCCTGGGTTCAGGTGATTCTCCTGCCTTGGCCTTTTGAGCAGCTGGGATTACAGGCACCCTATTGGCTGGACTGTTCTTGAACTCATGACCTCAAGTGATCCACCCTCCTCAGCCTCCCAAGGTGCTAGGATTACAGGCATGAGTCACCCTGCCTGCTCTCTTTATTACAATTTTAAAAATAAACTTTAGGCCGGGCATGGTAGCTCATGCCTGTAATCCCAGCATTTTAGGAGGCCAGGGTGGCGGATTACTTGAGGTCAGGGGTTCAAGACCAGCCTGGCCAACATGGTGAAACCCCATCACTACTGAAAATAAATTAGTGGGCGCATGGTGGCGGGTGCCTATAATCCCAACCCCATGGTGGGGTGCTGAGGCAGGAGAATCGCTTGAACCCTGGAGGCGGAGGGAGGTTGTAGTGAGCCGAGATCATGCCATTGCATTCTAGCCAGGGCAACAGAGTGAGACACTCTCTAAAAAAAAAAAAAAAAAAAACTTTAAAAAATTTAAGAAGGTTGATTGACCATAATGGTCTCTGTTTCAATAGATCCCTGTTTGTTGGGAAGGATGTGTTCGATGCTCACATACGCCATCTGACAAATCAGAAGATGGAAGGCTTATTTATACTGGCATTATGGCCCGAGCAGTGTTTGGTGAGTAATTAGAAGTGAGGATATTTACTCTTTTTTTTTTCTTTTAATTGTCAAAATATTCTTACCATATGTTATTTGTTATGCCATCCCTTAATTACAAGACATAAGGAAAATTAGATTTTCTTTTTTTGTTGTTGAGGTGTGTTGATAAGATGCAGAGACATTTGCATTTTTAGATTTTTTTTTTTTTTGAGACAGAGTCTCACTCTTTTGTCCAAATTGGAGTGCAGTGGCACGATCTTGGTTCACCACAACCTCTGACTCCCACCTTCAAGCGATTCTCCTGCCTAAGCCTCTTGAGTAGCTGGGATTACAGGCGTGCGCCACCACACTTGACCAATTTTTGTATTTTTAGTAGAGACAGGGTTTCACCATGTTAGCCAGGCTGGTCTTGAACTCCTGACATCAAGTAATTTGCCACCTTGGCTTCCTAAAGTGCTGGGATTACAGGCGTGAGCCACCATGCTTGGCCATTTTTAGGTTTTAAAAAGATGTTAGAAGGCTGTATTATTTGTGATGTTATGACTAGGCACTCAGACTTTCTTTGGTCATCTCTCACAGGATGTTTAACAAAATAAAAACAAAAAGTGTCTATATAATGTTTGAATATGCAGCCTTAGCCCCCAGGTAGCTGGGACTGCAGGTGCGTGCCACTACGCACAGCTAATGTTTGTATTTTTTGTAGAGATAGGTTTTTACCATGTTGCTCAGGCTGGTCTCAAACTCCAGACCTCAAGTGATCCGCACACCTTGGCCTCCCAAAGTACTGGGAGTACAGGTGTGAGCCACCATGAGCAGCCCATTGCCAGTGATTGTTAATTGAGCAATAAATAATTACTGATATCATCATAGTATTCATTGTGAATTTTGTCAGGAACTTTGTGTCAGGGATGTTGCTCAAAGATAATGCAGAATCCTAGGGTCTGGTAGAAAAGATGAATACATCATAATAATCATAATAAGTAATTTATTAGAATAGATTTGAGTTCAGAAGGCAGATACATTATTTTCAGGTTAGGGAGAGGATGAGACAGGACAGACAGGATCACGATAGAATTTTAGCTGGGTCTTTTAAGATAAGTAGGATATGAATATGAAGATGTACAAGAAGGGCACCCCAAGCTTGGAAGTCGTGTGAGCAAAGACATGAAGATGGGAAGCCCCAGAATACGTTTAGAAATAGCAATTATTCACAGCAGGCAAAATAATAGTGTATATGTATATTAGTTTCCTCTGGTTTCTGTAAAAAATTGCTACAAGTTTGGTGAATTAAAACCAACTGATACCTTAATTTTATACTTCCAGTCTCCAGAATTGGGAGAAAATACAGATTTTCTCCCAATTCTGGAAAGTATAAAATTAAGGTATCAATAAGGCCTCCTGATATCCTAGAGCCTTCAGATCTTTTGAAGCCTTCAGAGAAACATTCTTCCTTGTGTTTTCCAGCTTCTGGTGGCTCCTGGCAACCCTTGTCATTCCTTGGCTTGTAGCATGTAACTCCAGTCTCTTCGTCAGTCTTCACGTGGCCTTCCCTGTGTCTACTTGTCCTTTTCTGCATACACTGAATTTAGGGTCCATCCTAATCCAGCATGATCTCATCTCTGTCCTTAGCTAAATCTACAGAGACCCTGTTTCCAAATAGAGTCACATTCTGAGGTTGTGGGTGGACTTGAAGTTTGGGGAGATACTAATAACCCACTACAGTGTGACAAAAGTAAGGAGGGAAAAGGTATTTTGGATGGGCTGAGGGTACTTTTTTTTTTTTTTTGAGATGGAGTCTTGCTCTGTCACCCAGGCTGGAGTGCACTGGTGTTATATCGGTTCACTGCAACCTTTGCCTCCCAGGTTCAAGCGATTTTCCTGCCTCAGCCTCCCGAGTAGCTGGGACTGCAGGTGTGTGTCACCACCCTGTGTTTTTGTATATTTAGTAGAGATGGGATTTCACTGTGTTAGCTAGGATGGTCTTGATCTCCTGACCTTGAGATCTGCCCACATTGGCCCCTTTTTTTAAAAATTATTTTATTTTATTTTATTGAGACGGAGTTTCGCTCTTGTTGCTCAGGCTGGAGTGCAGTGGTGTGATCTTGGCTCACAGCAACCTCTGCCTCCCGGGTTCAAGCGATTCTCCTGCCTTAGCTTCCCAAGTAGCTGGAATTACAAGCATGTGCTACCATGCACGGCTAATTTTGTATTTTTAGTAGAGATGGAGTTTATTCATGTTGGTCAGGCTGGTCTCGATCTCCCAACCTTAGGTGATCTGCCCGCCTCAGCTTCCCAAAGTGCTGGGACTATAGACGTGACCCACCATGCCCGGCCTGGCTGAGCATAGGTGTCAACTTGATTTCTGTTGTTTCTCATGCAGTTAGCAATGTCATTGCAACTACCTGTGGGAAGAGGGAAATTTAAAATATTGTTAAGTTTCTGACACAAGATAATTAGGCTTTCAGCCAATAGCAATGTATAAGAGTGTTTACTTTGTTATAGCTTCACCAATAGTTTGGTGTCAGCCTTTTGTGCTTTTGCCAATTTGGGGGGAAACCAGTATCTTACTGTGGTTTTAATAGTATGTTTCTTATCAATAAGGTTTAGCATCATTTTTTATCCGTTTAAGGGCCATGTACATTTGTCTCTTTAAAATACGGTTGTTCTCATATTCCAGAAGCCTTTTATGTATTAGAGATACTAACCCTTTGTGATATAAGTTGAAAATATTGTTAGCTGGGCACGGTGGCTCACTCCTGTAATCCTGCACTTTGGGAGGCCAAGGTGGGCGGATCACGAAGTCAGAAGTTCAAGAGCAGCTGGCCAAAATGGTGAAACCCTGTCTCTACTAAAAATACAAAAAAGTTAGCCAGCGTGGTGGCGTGCGCCTGTAATCCTAGCTACTCAGGAGGCTGAGGCAGGAGAATCGCTTGAACCCAGGAAGCAGAGGTTGTAGTAAGCCAAGATTGCACCATTGCACTCCAGCCTGGGTGACACAGTGAGACTCTGTCTCAAAAAAGAAAAAAAAAAGTATTGTCTCCATTTTTTCACTTGTCTCTTTGTTTATGGGTTTATGTCCATGTACTTTTTTTATGTAGTCAAACTGTCA